TTCCTTAGAAAATTATTTTGAATTGTTATTCAAGATTACAAAAACAGAAATAAGTAATTTATCATATGGACCTGTCATTTATCACATAAATTTGATCGAGACATTCAAGAAAAAATTTCAGAAAATGAAATATTGCATTAAACTAACAACAGAAATTTGAAATTAATAATACATGATGAGTGGAGAAAATTTAATCAAAAACAGGATAAAGTCTAACTGATTCCATAATCCTCCTTCCTCTAGAAAGTAATCAAAGCTAATCTTAAAAAAATAAATAAATAAATAAATAAATAAAAAATGAAAAAAATTGGAGAAATATGTTTTTCTTATTTAATATAAATTAATGTGTGAACATTTTATAATATCCCCCCTATTTAAAAGAGAAGGCAAATTTTTAGCTCAATACCTAACTTTTGGGGAAAATACATAGCATAAAAAACAGTTAGCTAAATAAATGTGCACAAATATACAGACACTGTTTGCTTGTAGCAATCAGGTGATTTTTTTTTCCCCCAATTTTGGGCAGTAAACATGTCATACAATTTGTTTGCTTAACTATTATATATATAAATATATGTATACAGGATGTTTCAGCAATTCGGTTACAAACTTTCAGGAGATGTGGATGCCTGTATGACGTACAAATCACTGAGCAATGCATGGTTGGAAACTCTTTCCTGGCACAGTGTTGACAACACGAAAGACAAGAAATGAAGGCAGGGTGAAAAAACATGTTTATTATGCTCAGTAAAACAGAAACCAAGAAATTAAAACAAAAACCAATGACAATTCTCGTCAAAGAAAAAATTAAATTTTACAACATTGAAATTACAACCCTGGACTAAGATCCAGGCCTCATATCGCCAGCATATGGAGGATCTGATGATCTGGAAAACACCTGGCACATTCCAGACTTTCCCTGGAACCGCCATGATGTGTGCAACAAGTTCCTGAGCATTGTTAATGGGGGGTTTCATACACCAGTGTCTTGATGTACCCCCAGAGAAAGTAGTCAGTGTATCAGAGGTGAAGCAATCTTGTTGGCTGATACACCAGACCACCCTTGCCAATCCAATGTTACGGATACATTGCTTTCAGGTGAAGATGGTTGTTAATGTATGCAAAAATTTTAAATTCCTAACATTTTAGCTGCACTGAGCATAATAAACATGTTTTCACACCCTGTTCATGTCCATCCTTCCTTGTGTTTTGTGTCATCATTATAGCACCCGAAAAAAGTTTCTGACCATGCACTGGTATGTGATTTCTCAATCATCTAGATGTATTCTATCTTTTCTGAACGTTTATAACCAAATTTCTGAAACACTCTGTGCATATATATATACAAAAAGAAACATTAATATGTTTCAAAAACATGTTTTGTTCTCCTGGTTCATTTGAGATCCAAAACCGTTAAAAGATTCAGTTAAATTTTCAATTAAGACATTAAAATTCATATAAAACTGTAAAATCGAATCTCAAATGTACCAGAATTTTCTCTACATGCTTTCAAAACACTTGGAAAAAGGAATAAAACACAACATTGTGCCAAATTGACTACTAAAAAAATTAAATAAATAAAACTTTACTTTATGCAAATTGGCCATTCAAAAAAACAAATTGGTCTAAAACCATTATATGCAAAATTAGCTATTTGCTTGTTATTTGCAATTGCTTTTAAATTCTGATTTTGCATGTAATGGTTTTACACCAATTTGTTAATAGGCTATAATGATAGGCTAAATATTAAAAACAAAATTTTTAAACCTGTCCTATGCTATAGCTGCAGGAATGAAGTAAAATAAACTTAAAGCATATAAAGTTAATATTAAATTGGAATCAAAGCAAGGCAATTCCTAAACAATATTAATAATTGCAACAGTGTATAAGATGTTTGTACAGTGTATAAGAGACAAGAATTCATGATAGAGCAAACTCAAAAAATAAAAGGTTAATCTTTGGATTATGGTAACTTGGCGACTTTTTTGGCAAAAATTTGGCGACCAATCCTGCTACAGCAACTTGCTAATTTTTGTGGGGGTAATGCCATTTTGTTTTCACAAAGTAAAGGCATGTTTTTTTTTTACTCAGCATTTTTTCCCAACAATCTGCTAGCCGAATTACGCTTATGCTAGAACTGTTATGGAATAAAAGTGCTTAAATCACGACAAAGATTAGTTGCGAAATTGGGAGAAAGTGCAGAATCGCCCACTGCTTGCCGCGTTTTTAAGAATTGCACATACACGTTATCCATGTACACGTCAACCTATTTTCACTTAAAAAAACATCTCAAAAATTGCACAAAAATGGCATTACGCACACTCTTGACTTTATCCATGTACACTGCTAAAGTCCTAGCTAGTAACCTTTATCACCTTACCAAAATGTCACCAAACTACCTGTTACCATATTCCAAAGATTAGCCAAATAAAAATACAAAAGGAAAAATATACAAAATTATAAAAATTAATCTCCCTTTACCGAAACTCCAATTCAGAACTCGGTAAAAATATATTTACGGGTACCCCTTGGCGAAAATTGGCAATACATGGATACCAAGTTTGTGCAATTCTTTGACTTGTTATTTTGACTTGTATAGCACAACTTTTGCGCCAAATTTCGCCGCTACACAAAGCCAAAATAACAAGACAAAGACTGAACATAGTCTTTTTTCACTTAAAAAAATATCAGAGAATTGCACAAACTTGGCATTGCGCACTGCCTTGACTTTATCCATGTACACATTCACCTATTTATACTCAAAAAAAAAAAAAAAAAAATCAGAGAACTGAACAAACTAGGCATTGCGTACTTCCTTGACTTTGTCCATATACACATCGAACTATATTCACTTAAAAAGTCAAAGGAGCAGCCAACAAAAAAATATATCATCTCAATAAACTACATTTTAAATCAAACAATGAAATAACATAAAAAATGAAATTCATCTCAGCACTACACAAAAGAAATATCCATGTACCTTATTTACGAATTAACATGTACTCAGTCAAACAAAATTCCTTAACAACATCCAAAAACTTCCTAAAATTATGTGAACTACAATCTGTATACTGACATTGCCACATAAATTCACAAAATGAGAATCAAAAATATCCTCTGTAGTGCCATATCATCCGACCATACACATTTCCTTCCTACAAACAGGACACTTAATAATGGCTACTAGGTAAACCTTCATTTACACAGCAGCCAAGTAATGCTATTTTCTCCTTTCTTTCCAAATCATACAGAAACTTCAAATTAATCTTATGACATTCAGCCATTTTACCATCTAAACCACAAAACAAGCAATATACATCCTAATCAACACACATACAAGCCCTTACAAGTTTATCGCAATCATGTAACTGAATATGTCATAATAGGGTTTCTGTAACATTCAACTACTCAGGCTGCCATAAATGAAACAACAACTTGGCAATAAATAAAACAACAACTTTGTGATAATACAAGGGGTACCCTTCTGTCTTCTCTAACCCAGAACTCATCAGAGGAAAATGAATTAAAGCTTCAGAAAAGTTGATTAATATGTTTCGAAAACATGTTAAAAAAGAATAAAACATAACATCGTACTAACTGGTTACTTGAAAAAAACCCATAAAACTTAACTTTATGCAAATTGACCATTCAAAAAAAACAATTTGGTCTAAAACTATTATATGCAAAATCAAAATTCAAAAGCAATTACAAATATCTCTTTATTTGTAATTGCTTTTGAATTTCAATTTTGCATACAATGGTTTTAGACCAATATTTTTTTTAATGCTCAATTTGCATAAAGATAAGTTTTATGGGTTTTTTTTTTTTTTTTTTTTTTTTTTTTTTTTTTTTCCCCTTAGCCAATTTGGCACAATGTCCAATTTGGTTTTATTCTTTTTTTTTAAGTGTTCTTAGCCAATTTGGTTTTTATTCTTTTTTCCAAGTGTTTCGAAAGCATGTACGGAAAATTCTGGAATATTTGAGATTCGATTTTATGGTTTTATATGAATTTTACTGTCTTAATTGAAAATTTAACTGAATCTTTTTTTTGGTTTTTGATCTCAAATAAACCAGGGGAACGGAACATGTTTTTGAAACATATTAATCAACTTTTCTGAAACTTTATTTCATTTTCCCATGATGAATTCTGAACTGTAATTTCAGCAAAGGGAGATTAATTTTTATAATTTGTATATTTTATGATTTTGTATATTTTCCCTTTTGTTTTTTTACTTTTCAAGTTTGTTTGAACATGATTTCTTATTTTAATTTTAATTTGTTTAGATATTGTGTTAAACATCTTATGCACGGTTACAATTACTAACAATGTTAAGGAATTGCTTTGCTTTGATTCCAATTTAATATTAACTTTAGATGCTTTATATATATACACTACAACATATTTTTAAAATCTTAAAACTTTCCATAAGCAATAAGCACAATACATATATATCAACAACCTGATGATATTTCAGTAATGAAATGATTTTTGTTGCATACTAAAGCTGTTCCAACAAGATTAAATATATACTTCTATGAAAATTACGTTTAATTGTTTTAGTTTAATGCATTTAAAGTTTTTAAAATTATTTTCAGGAATTAAAAACATCTAATTACTTCTGGCAAAGACTACACAGTAAGTTATAACAATAATGCATAAGTAAGTAGAAATAAGTAAATATACTATAAGCAAATAATAATAATGCAATAATTTCAATTGCTTCATGGAAAACCTTAGTCACGTCTTTAAAAGCATAATCACCTGAGACAAACCACCATAGTTGCTCCAGCATAAGCAGATACAGGGTTAATATACAATAATATTCTGTAATATAATATCCACACTTCAGTCTGTATCTCGATGATTCTAACATATATTCACATCGAAATAAACATTTGTAAAAATCCCATTTGCTGAAAATTATCGAGCTAACATTAAACTTAGAAAAAAAAAAAATAAAGAAAGAACGATGACATTGCTGAAAAGTATAAAACAATACCTGAACAATTAGAGGTCGATCTTCAGGACATGTTATCAAATTTTCTCTTCGATAACGAGAATCTTTAACGAAAACTGATGCATGAAGCATAGGAGTGAAACATAATTCAGCACCATATTTACGACTAAGTAATCGCCACGCGAGCTCACTTTGATCTACCATAGGAGCAAGAATAAGACGAGGGGACCCTAACTTTTCCCTCCAAAATTTGTAACCACTGTTTTCGTGCATGAAATTCTGTAACTTGCACTTCACTTTCAGGAAAAGCAGCCATACAGAACATATAAATCCACCAATATCCCAGAACGTCGGCTGCTACTATTTACGGGAAACTATTCAGTCATAGTTGTAGTTGTTTTCTCAAAGAAAATTAAACAGCAAGTAGCTTTTCTTCTTCATAACTTGAAGTTTCAGCTTCCTGATGCTAAATAATTGGGATGCAAATTTAGGAAATATGAATATAATCTAAAACAAATAAAACATATTTCATTTAATGAAAGACGAAATCGCATTTTGATTGCAATGTTGGTTTTTTAACAAAATCATGAATAAGGACAAATTTTCAGTTTATGAAAACGAGATGCATATAAAATAAGTTATTTATCAGTTTCGTAAAGCATCTCTAAAAAAATTGGGTTCTCATTGTAAAAACTTTAACCACTGCTTGCAGCACATGGTTAAAGAAACATTCCTTGATTGTAATAACAAAAACTAGGCAAGATGCTATATAAGTTTTTCCTAGATTTTCTCATTATAATGTAAATACGTGTCTTTTCATTCGAGAGTTCTTCTACCAAGATTTGCTTCTCATTTGTAATCACCTGTGTGTGTGTGTCTTTGTAATCAAATTACTGCATCATATCTAAGAAGGAAGAGAATAACTAAACACTTTTGTTTCGGAAAGATGTCTGTTTATTTTTGTTAAGATGTGTATGGCGGGAAATGGAAAGCTCTCCAAATAAATTTTGTATTCCTCAAAATATTGATGATTCATTTGAGGAACCTAGTTCTGTGAGTTGCATAGTTTGTATCGTTAGCTCTAGTGTAGAATTGGGTGCCCCTTCGATTCGCGACAATTTTTTTTTAAATTTTGGCGATGAAACCTCACTTCTGGTTACCATGATAGTTTTAACTTTGTTTTAGCGTCCTGATTTTATTTAAATGAAAATAGATTGACGTGTACATGGACAAATTTAAGGCAGTGCGCAATGCCTAGTTTGTGCAATTGTACGACTTTTTTTTTTTTTTTTTTTTTTTAAGTGAAAACATATCGATGTGTACATGGACACAGAGTTTGTGCAATTCTTTGACCTCTTATTTTGGTTTTGTCTAGCGGTCATCAGGAAATTGTACCTTCCTGGTGCCGATCTTGGCATCAAAAAACAAGGGGCACCCAATTGTAAACTTTTACCGTATCATTTTCCTGTTAAATGTACTAGCTCTTTAAATGGTAAAAAACAGTAAACTGTGTCTTATTTATGTAATTTTGGGTGAATTATGATTATTTTTTAATACATTATATTTTTTTTACTTTAAAGGCACCGCAATATTTTAAACCCGGGATCATACTTCAAGAAGCTAATAAAACTAATGGTAAAGTGACTATTAATGCAAGTTCATCTCAGAATACTTCTACAGTTGTCGAGGAAGGCAGTACAAGCAATGATATAAATACAACAGTTCATAGCGATGTTAAGACTCTTTCGCCTAGGAAACCTGCTTCTAGATTTGAAAGTGAATTTGGACACTTGCGTGAATCTAAATATTATGATAAATCTGTTGAAACTGCATCGTAAGTATTAGCACTATTAAGTGTAGCTTTTTATTTGTAGCTTACAATCGTATTTTTTACAAGTTTTTATTTGAAGCTTCTAAAAGAATAGCTTTTTAAGATAATTTTTAATTTTAGGTGTGATTGGCAACTTTGTGTTTGATGAATAATGTGTATGGTATTGAATTTTTATTATTTAATATATTTAGATGCTGAACATATTAGCTTTAATTTGTGATTTATAATCAAATTGGGTGTAACAAAATAGACACCACAGTTGTAATGATAAAAAAGGGCCATGCAAAATAATTTTGGTAAAAGTATTGTGTAGGGAACCCCTTGGCGATTTTTGGCGGTACATGGATACCGATTTTGTGCAATTCTTTGACTCATTATTTTGGCTTGCAAAGCGGTGATTTTCGGCGCAAAAATCACTGCTACACAAAGCCAAAATAACAAGACAAACAATTGCACAAACTCGGTATCCATGTACACATCGACTTATTTTCACTTAAAAAAAAAAACCGAATTGCATGAAAATGGCATTGCGCACTCCTTTGACTTTATCCATGTACACGTAGAGCTATTTTCAACCAAAAAAATAATCCCAGAATTGCACAAACTTGCATTGAGCCACTCCCTTTCTCTGTCCATGTACACATCAATATATTTTCACTTAAAAAGTGAAAGAAGCACCAAAGTCTACAGTATAGGCAAACAAAAAATACATAAAAAAGGAAAAACATGTTTTACATGTAATACCAAAAGCAAAATTACCAAAAGCAAATAATCACTTACCATGATTTTCGAGTTCGCTTCGTACACCCAGAGCCACATAAAAATCAAAATATCAATCATACTCAAATGACTTTTTTTCAAACCAGGTACTCTTTCTGATTGAACTCTTCACATAGTGACCATCTGAACCTTTCTTCCTACAAACCCATTCAAATCCATCTAAACGGTTTTAACACACACCACAAAAACGCTTACAAAACATCCCATGATTCAAAATTTCCCAGAATCATGCACCTGATTACGTCACAATAGGGTTTCCATAACATTCAACTACTCAGGCTACCATAAATGAAACAAAAACTTCGCCATAATATAACGGGTACCTTAAAGTCTACTCTACCCATAATTTTAAATTTAGCTTATTATATACAGTAAATTTAATTGTATTTGTACCAATTTGGGCAGTTATGCAAAAATGAGATAAAAGTGATGATTGTGCATGTCATGATGAATGAAATTAAGTCAGAACAATGGCAACAGTCTAAAAAATTCAGAGTGTACAAATAAAAAAAAAATCTTTTTTGTGAGTAAATTGGAGAAATATCAAATTGAAATCATTAATTTTTTTATGTGTCAGACATTTCAGCAGTTAATTGATTTCTTTTTGTGATTATCGGTACTTTGTGATCATCCCCACCCCTGATTTTCAATATTTAATAAAATTGCTGTGCCTTTAACATATTTTGGGGAGCACTTGTGGTAACAGTTAACTCACACATGTGATTGAATATATGTAGATTTGGTGACCAGACAAAAGCCCACTGGACGAAAGCGCGACAAATACCCACACCGATGAAAGCGCACATTGATAAAAGCACACTTAGATATAAGCCCACGTTGATAAAAGCCCACATTGGCAAAAACCCACACTGATATATATGCTACGTTGAAATGAATGTTTTCCCCCTTTTTTCTTCAGCTGCACAAAGTAGATTCATGAATAATGATGAAATAAAAAATAAATTAAATTAATAACAAATGATTGAACAATAAATTTAAGTAGAGAAACACATTTCATTTTGGGCTCCGGCTGAATTAAGAGTCGATCAAAATAATATAATTATCGTTCTTTCGCTTTTCATGCCGAGTTATAAATAGTGTTGTTTCATCTGCTGCCGTCCTTACTTATTCTGTCTTTCCCGTTTCATTCGCTGTTTGAAAAGTTACTTTATGATTAAGAAAAGATATATTCAGACGAAATGACGCTTACTACATTGACCTAACTTAGCCTTTGAGTTCTAATACTTATTAAACATTTCCTTTATATAAATTTATTCCGAGCAGAATAATGAATTTCAGACACGTTCAAGAGGTGTGTTTTTGAATCTGATTCCATTTTTGTCATCTAGTGTTCATTTTTTTAATTTCACATACTTCTAAAGAAATAGAACCACTGTTCCTCTGCTTTAACAGAAAATCAAAATGCATCAAGTGTATAATTAAGATGTACATGTTTTATTAAAAATATAGTGAGTCCTCTTTAACTCTTTCGCATCGAAGTCGCCCCAAACGCCCAAAAATTCAGACATCGGCTGGACGCCCGAAACGCCTGAATAATTTCCTACCCAGTGCTTTCCCCCATCACATTACTGCATTACTCATTGCATTCACTCATTACTCATTATGTTATTAAATCACATGTCAATCATTCTTTTGAAGCTACTAAAAGTAGCTTCCTTGTTTCCTTTGTTCCTTCCTTTCCTTTGTTTACTGTCAGTGTTTAGCTTTTGATGCCCGAAGTTGCAATCCCGTCCCAAGGGGGAAACTTCACACAGTGTCAAAACATCGAAGAAAGAAGTTCTCGCTTTACTTAAGTAAGGCTATTGTTAGCGCTGTAGTATTCAACTTGTCATGGGAGAAGGAAAAGCATTCCAGGAGAAACTCTTAGATACGGGCGTTTTCGATGTTTGGGGAATTGAGATTTTGCCTTCTCTCGATGCGAAAGAGTTAAACGCAACTGTTTACGGTTTTAAAGAATTTTGGTTGTAGATATGATGGTCTTAGAAATGTGATATTCACTGCAATGTTTGTTAATGTTCACAAAAAATACAGGTCTCTTTCAAAAGGCGACCTTTTAGAAACGTCGTCATTAAAGATATAATTCAGCATAATTATTTTCTAATGGATAATGGAATTAATTTAATCTAATGTCAATTAGAAAACGGCTATTTATAATAGGAAGATGTAAAAGCACTGTAAATGTAATTAAGAGCATTGTAAATTTTTCTTTCACAATCAGCTGTTGTATAAGATTAGCTGCTTTCTTTGCATTTTTCATGTTTTATAACTGATATCCATACGTCTTGAACAAATATGCACTAAATGCAAGACAAATAATTAAAAAAATTGCAATTTGAAACATTAATACTAATTTTCTATTTCTATACATAAGACTATTAGTGAATGATAAATTTATATAATAGGCATCTAAAAACGATGAACTTTGAATCTGATGACTGTATATATTCATATAGTTACAAAATTTTATTAGATGTTATTACATGCATAGTTCTTTGTAATCTTCACATTCTTCTTTCATCTAATAAAATGCTACATATTTATTACTATAGATTGAGATAATTGTACTAGTTAAATTTGTAGATATGTTGACTTCAAAGAGTTTTTCCAATTCCCCCCCCCAAATAAATAAATAAAATGAAAATTTAAAACACTATTCCAAATTGCTGTAGTTGAAAGATTAAGAGGTCACTTGGAATTCATTTTCTGACAGGGTATCAGCTGACAGTTTTAATTTATTAAGAAATCTGAAAGAAAATATTTCTAGAAAGTCACCAAATTACATTCAAAAAAGCTTTCAATGAGAAATATGTTTAAACTTTTATAAAAAGCTCAGTCTGAAGTAAAGAATAAAATATCTATTAGCAAAGTTTTCATTGTGCTTAACTGTTTTAATATTACCAAACTAAAAAGAAACTAAAAGGAACTAAAGGAAAAACTAAAAAGGAAGAAAATAAAATTCAAGTGTTTTTAATTAAAAAGTTATGAGTTTTAATAATGAAACATAATTATATTTAATCTCAGCCATGTTACCTTAAAAATAGCATGTGAGAAACTTCACAATGATACTTTTCATTTTAACATACACATACCAAAAGTTAGCTAAGTAAATAAATAATGAAATGCAATTTCAGATTTATCATTGAAATGTTATAGCTAATCAATCAGAGAGCAGAAAGTTTGCTTTCAACCTAATAAATTAAAGAAATAAAGTAGTGATAAAATATACAAACAGACATATATTTGAGACATTAAAATTCAGATCTGAATACTCCATTTATTATAATTAAAATTATAATTATATTTTATAGTAATTAAAACCATAAGTCCCTTTTGATTATGTGCACATTTATCAGTGTGTGCTTTTATCAGCGTGGGCTTATATCAATGTGCACTTTTATCAGTGTGGGCTTTTATCAATGTGCACTTTCATCACTGTGGGCATTTGTCGCGTGGGCAATTATCATAGGGGGCTTTCTTTTGTGAGCTTTTGTCACATGCGCTTTCATCCAGTGGGCTTTTGTCTAGGAACCGTGGATTTATGTGCTTTATATTTAATTATAATATGACCGATCAGTTTTTTTTGGGGTTTTGTTGGGAGGGACATAAAATTTCTTGTTTTTTATAAAATATTTCTTTTTATTAGCTTTTGTGAACTTATGAGCTAAAGATGTCCAAACAAATGTTTTCTATCAAGTTGTTTCTATAGTTGATGACTTATTGGCAATTGGATGGAATGTACCAGTGAGTCATCAACTTATCAGCAACTTAATAGAAAACAACTTATTTGCAACTTGACAGGCACAGAAAATACCTGATTTTCGGTGGCTGTCCCATTCTTTCAATCCAACATGTGCAAATTTTTTCTTTTGGATGTATAACTGAGCCCCACCTTAGCAAACTTTAAGAAACTGATAGTTTGGTTCCAATCTGATAAGAAACATATGTATCATCTCATAAAAGAGTGTAAATGATTATTAATAAATCATAAAAAGGACTGATTGGCATTGTCACATCTCCCAAAAAAAGTGAGTAACAATTATAATTTAAAAAAAAAAAAAAATCATACTATTGTCAAGTTGCACTACATTCCTCAGAATAGAAAGTGTGTTTTGAGAAAAAATTACTGAAACTAAAGACAATTGTAAAGAGTTCTGTCAGCACTTTTAGATGTTAAATATTTTGACATGTTACTTTTATAAAAG